GAAGAAAAGAAAAAGATGTGCATAATCTCCAGACTGCCATCTGCCCAAATTTCAAGTTTCATAAAAATATTTTCAGTATTTTTTGAATTATCACTGGATCCAGTTTATGTGTTAAATTTGCCATATTTTCAGACTATTTGTTGCCATAGCAACCAGAATTTTCAACATAGGAAGAAAAAAAAAGACGTGCATAATCTCCATACTGCCATCTATCCATATATCAAGTTTCATAAAAATATTTTCAGTACTTTTTGCGTTATCGCGGGATCCAGTTTTGTGGACGGACGGACTGACGGACGGACAGACAGACGGAAGATCTCACAGGACAGTAATTATGTGGCTACTCTATTGTTCTCTCTATTGTTCTTTTTAGCCACACAAAAGAAAATAGCCACATAAAAGCATTACGGAATGAATGACATCAAAGAGAAAGAACAGTTACCTATTGTCCCTCTAGCCACATAATTACTCTCCTGTGAGTGCGGACAGACAGACAGACCGGTAGGGGACTAATAAAGAAGGAACACATGTGTGGAATAATACCACATGATATAAATGGAACTAAATGTATCCTGATAAAATAAGCGGAATGCGTCTTTTTGTAACTTAATTAATCACTTTACAGAAACAATGATGTGACTGATTTCATTGATTATTAGGCAACATCACATGCTCTTACAATAAATCTTTGGGCGTTCTCTGGTGTCTTAGTCTGATTACATAACCTATTCCTTTTTTACCTATTTATATGTGAAGGTTTACATGGCAGACAAAACATCTTAAATGTTTTCAAATTAAAAATTATATCAATAATAAAGGGAAACAAGGCAGAAAGGATATAAGATCAACAGTATTACAAATATAGTATTTAATTAATGATAAGACATTAGGTATTAGGTCTGACTAGATATTCCATACAATACCATAACCTAGAATTTATAACAAACACCAATCATATACATTGTAGTTATAATTAATGATTACATTCTTTACTGTTCATTAATCTATAAATTTGAAACAGGCAAATATCTTAAAATAAATTAATTCATTTCACATATATGAGTAATTAATTTATTGGTAATAATCAAATAATTATTAACATTATTCATGCAGAAAAGTAACCTTCATTTTATAATAAATGTGATATATGAAAATAAAATTTTTACTACTTATTTTCCCAAAAACAAGTAAATGATAGCAGTGTCTGTATACACATACAGGCATAATAGGTCTTATACATATAATGTCAAAATATTTTACGTCTGAAAATTTAACTTTCATTACATCAATCAGGTACCACTACCTTAAAATTTCAAATTAAATTTTGACCAAATAAACATTAATATAACCATTAATATAAACATTCAGAAATTCCATCTGATTTGCCATAGACTTATTTCTTGGTACAAAAGAATATGGTATGGTACATTTTTTTAGTCAAATCTGATAATCTCCTATGTAATTAATTGGTGTAACAAGACTGATGCATAGTTTGCTGGAATCTTAAAAACTAACTGAAATATACAAATAGTCACGTCAGTTTTTAAATGTTTGATCTAAACCTATATTCCATTTTCTTGTATTACCTTTCTACTCAGTGATGTCTTTTGGTGACACAAATGGATTAAGGATTATTTGGCCACCATGGATTACACTTATTTCTGATACATTCACACAAACAACAGTCTCCCGCTTACAGCATTGGATATTTGGGATAAACTATACAGAAACATTCAAACATGTTTGACCAATGTAGCAAAATACAAACAGTGTAAAGTACTTGTAAATAAAAATGCAGGTTTTCTTAAACTAGACAATACGAGTATTTAGGCTTCCATATTTTGCATTAAAAAGAAATAACAACTCAGTAGATTGGTTAAGATTCTGGGATGTTAAAATATAACCGGCACCATGTGTTCAATAATTCTTTAACATAAATATTAAAGGTAAAGTAAAACATCCCTTATATAATATAGTTAAAAATACAGTATATATTTCATCCCATTATAACAGTTCTGCTACTAGAACTGTAGTTGTATAATCAATGTTTTTTTCGGCTGCTTGGACATTACTAAGAATAACAGGAATTTAGTATTACATGAGGATGCTTATTTTGTAACATGTGTGCAGTATATAGAATATGCTGATTCTTAAAAGAGTTGTAAATAAAATGATTATATTACTTAACACACATTAATATCGTATGACAAGAGGGTCATGATGGCCCTGGGGTCGCTCACCTGTACATAGGCCCCCAGGGCGGGGCCAGTTTAAACCAAAGGGTTTTTATTTGAACAAACTTGGAAGACACCCATTAGAAGATGTTTCATGATGTTAAGTTTTTACTATACACAAATAATGAAAAACAATGACTTTTGTCCCCCCTCCCCCTGGCAGGGCCAATTTTGACCCCAGGGCTTTTATTTGAACAAATTTGGTAGACACCCATTAGAACATGTTTCATGCTAAATATCTTAGCTCTAGCTCTTTGGGTTCTTTAAAAGAAGATTTTTAAGTTTTTAATTACTATATGCAATATAGGGAAAATCAATGACCTCCTAGGGCGGGGCCAATTTTGACCCAAGGGCTTTTATTTGAACAAACTTGGTAAACATCCATTAGAACATGTTTCATGCTAAATATCTTAGCTCTAGCTCTTTGGGTTCTTTAATAGAAGATTTTTAACTTTTTACTCTATGTATATAGGGAAAATCAATGACCCCTGGGGCGGGGCCAATTTTGACCCAAGGGCTTTTATTTGAACAAATTTGGTAAACACCCATTAGAAGATGTGTCATGCTAAATATCTTAGCTCTAGCTCTTTGGGTTCTTTAAAAGAAGATTTTTTAAAGTTTTTACTATATGCATATAGGGAAAATCAAAGACCCCCCTGGGGCGGGGCCAATTTTGACCCCAGGGCTTTTATTTGAACAATCTTGGTAGACACCCATTAGAACATGTTTCATGCTAAATATCTTAGCTCTAGCTCTTTGGGTTCTTTAAAAGAATTTTTGTTAAGTTTTTACTATATGCATATAGGGAAAATCAATGACCCCCTGGGGCTGGGCCAAATTTGACCCCAGGGCTTTTATTTGAACAAACTTGGTAGACATCCATTAGAACATGTTTCCTGCCAAATATCTAAGCTCTAGCTCTTTCGGTTTTTTAGAAGGAGATTTTTTTAAGTTTTTACTATATGCATATAGGGAAAATCAATGACCCCCTGGGGCGGGGCCAATTTTGACCCCAGGGTTTTTATTTGAACAATCTTGGTAGACACTTATTAGAAGATGTTTCATGCTTAATATCTTAGGTCTAGCTCTTTGGGTTCTTTAAAAGAAGATTTTTGTAAGTTTTTACTATATGCATATAGGGAAAATCAATGACTCCCTGGGGCGGGGCCAATTTCGACCCCCAGGGCTTTTATTTGAACAAACTTGGTAGACATCCATTAGAACATGTTTCATGCCAAATATCTAAGCTCTAGCTCTTTGGGTTTTTTAGAAGAAGATTTTTTTAAAGTTTTTACTATATGCATATGAGGAAAATCAATGACCCCCTGGGGCCGGGGCCAATTTTGACCCCAGGGCTTTTATTTGAACAATCTTGGTAGACACTCATTAGAACATGTTTCATGCTTAATATCTTAGGTCTAGCTCTTTGGGTTCTTTAAAAGAAGATTTTTTTAAGTTTTTACTATATGCATATAGGGAAAATCAATGACCCCCTGGGGCGGGGCCAATTTTGACCCCAGGGCTTTTATTTGAACAATCTTGGTAGACACTCACTAGAAGATGTTTCATGCCAAATATCTAAGCTCTAGCTCTTTGGGTTTTCTAGAAGAAGATGTTTAAATTTTTTTCTTTTGGTTGCCATGGCAACCAGAGTTCTGCATGGAATGGAATTCTTTGAACAACTTTGTTAAGGCTTCACACAAGGAACATCCCTATGAAGTTTCATTATGATCTGCTATATGGTTTCAGAGGAGATGTCGTTTGAAAAGTGTGAACGGACAATGGACGACGTACGACAGACGACGGACGAAGAGTGATCCTAATAGCTCACCCTGAGCATATGCTCAGGTGAGCTTAAAACAAAATAAATGTTCCGTAACAACATACTGATAATGAAGGTGTTATTTCAAGTTGGGTTTCAACCGTTTAGAAATGGCATAATGGAAATAATTATAAGTTTTGGATATTTTTAAAGAGAAACAAAATAATATATTCAAGCAATGGTGGTTGAGAACAATGTACACGAACAGAATTAGTGAATGTACATGACAAGGTCATCAATAACTAGCATAGCAACTTTTATTATAATCAACCAACCCTTTAAGAGCTACCAATTTCAGATTGCACAACAAACATTTCAAAATGCACAAAGTGAACAATGCTTGTTCACAAGATAGAAAAACATGAGGAAACAAATATCTAAATTTATATCCCAAATAAAGCTGTTTAAACACAGGTGTGTAAATGCTGCATAGATTTAATTAACTTATATCATTACTTTACTATAACATGCATACTAAATTTTGGTTATAAATCACACTCAATAAATATTGCATAGGTTTTCACTTTTAATCGGATGAATAAAATAGTCCAGTGACTGTTAGGTTTTGTGGATTAAATACACACAGTTTTCTACACAATGATAGCTATTTATCTAGTTAGATGAATATCCTTATGGTATGAAAGAACTATTTCTAAACAAGCAATTATCATAGTATTGCAAGCAATCCATAAGTCCCCTACCGGTAAGAGCCCAAGCAACATTCTGAAGGGCCATTGGCCATTCACTTATGTTCCTATTTTAAGTAAATTTGTTGAAAAAGTTCTTTAAAAGTGATCACAGGAAACAGTTTTTATGTACAGACAGACGGACTGAAGGACACTCTAAAGTTATTTTTTAAACATCCCTGTTATCAAACTATAACATTTTTAAAATCCTATCATGATTGAAGAAGTTGGATTAAAAAATATTAATTTCTCAAAAAAAAAGTCCAAGTTCAAAAGGGGCATAATTCTGGAAATAGTCTTGCTAGAGTATTGAACACTCACAAATGTTGAGTGATAATAAGAAACATTTATATGAAGTATGAAGTAGATACATTCAGAAAAAGAAGTTATTAAAAAAAAAAAACAATGTTTTTTTCATGAAAATTTTAAGTTCAAGGGAGGTAATTCTGATAAATTTTGTGCTAGAGTTGTAAACCTTGTCACATATGATGTGGTTGACGACAAGCAACTTATATTTAAAGTTTGAAGAAAATACCTTAAGAAATAAAGAACTTATAGTGAAAAAACTTAAAAACTAGAATCAGAAATCTTGAAATTCAGTCTATTTGTTGCCATAGCAACCAGAATTTTCAACATAGGAAGATAAGAAAAGGATGTGCATAATTTCCATACTGCCATCTACCCATATGTCAAGTTTCATAAACAAATTTTCAGTACTTTTTGTGTTATCACTGGATCCAGGTTATGTGTAAAATTTGCCATATTTTCTGTCTATTTGTTGCCATAGCAACCAGAATTTTCAACATAAGAAGAAAAGAAAAAGACGTGCATAATCTCCATACTGCCATCTATCCATATATCAAGTTTCATAAAAATATTTTCAGTACTTTTTGCGTTATCGCGGGATCCAGATTATGTGTAAAATTTGCCATATTTTCAGTCTATTTGTTGCCATAGCAACCAGAATTTTCAACATAGGAAGAAAAGAAAAAGACGTGCATAACCTCCATACTGCCATCTATCCATATATCAAGTTTCATTAAAATATTTTCAGTACTTTTTGCGTTATCACGGGATCCAGTTTTGTGGACGGACGGACTGACGGACGGACAGACGGACGGACAGACGGACAGACGGACGGAGGGTAAACCTAAAGTCCCCTCCGGTAAACCGGTAGGGGACTAATTAGAATTGCACATTATAATTTCTTTGTAAATAACCTAGGACATCAGGCAGTAGAAATCCATTTATATTCGTGTGGCAAGACTCTAAAATATCCAATATGCTTGACAGTATTGTGAATAAACGGATTGCAGCTGGTGCTAATAAATATCTTGGATTATATTCTAATAAAATTAAAGCATTTGAAAGTGCACAAAATGGGCACGATATAATATAAGAACGAGACAGAAATAAAGAAAGAATGTAAAATTTAATATAAGAACGAGACAGAAATAAAGAAAAATGTAAAATATAACATAAGAACGAGACAGAAATAAAGAATGAATGTAAAATATAACATAAGAACAAGACAGAAAAAAATGTAAAGTTGTAAACATAGATTTCATTAAAACGAAACGGAAATCATCTGTAGTAGTTCACTCATGCTGTGATTTGATCACTATCAGTTATTGAGACAACTATACATTGTATTAGTACAGAACTATTTCTGTCAGTCCCTGCGTCTTGTAAAGGTGAAAGTGTCGGTGTCAGACATCTGAGGTAACAAACGATATTTTCAACACCTTTCATCAGAACCTTTCAAAATATAAGCGAAAGAAAAAAAATAATAATCATAATGCAAACTTAATTCATGGGTTTGCGACCAGCATGGATTCAGACCAGCCTGCGCATCCGCGCAGTCTGATCAGGATACATGCTGTTCGCTTACAAACCCTTAACAAGTAGAGAAACTGGCACGAATCCTGATCAGACTGCGCGGATGCACAGACTGGACTTGATTCATGCTGGTTGCAAACCCATTATGTTGGTTTTGTCGTGACGCGGCTCAAATGTATCTATGATATGTAAGAGTTTTAAAAGACATTTTGATATCCTTAAAGTTTCATAATAAGTCTCTTTCATCTCCTCATATCTTAGTGATGCACGGGTTTGTATTGTACTTTATCACCAAGGAGATCTGAAGCGAAAAGTAAAACAACTTATAAACAAAATTATTATACTTTATCTTTCAACGTATTTATACTAAATATAACGCACTACTAAATTATTGGCAGTAGGCAAACTCTGAAAATCAGATTGATTCTGTTGGGAAAGATGTAATGTAAATAATATTATTATTGTTATTCCTTTTGTTAATATATATTTGTTTTACAAATTATACAAATATGTCATTTGAAGTAAAATATTAAGAAATCTGGTTAATATAACAATATTGATTACATCATTATTACTGAAAGAAATGTTGTATTTCATGAAAATACTCACTTAATTCTAATTCTCTATTGTTGGCAAAGTCTAATACAATTTTGTCTTCCTCATTTTCGGACACTTTATCTAATTTGTCAACTTTCTTAGCAGTAGTTTCTTCATCTTCAACAGTTTCTTCAATGAAAGGTAGATCTATATCCTCTTCCTGTAAAACCGATATAATTTTTAAACAAATATTTTAGTTTAATAATATTCTATTGCAACTATATAATACATATAAAATGTAATGTATGTAAAATATGAATACCATGTACATATAAGTATTGTTTAAATGGGTTTGGCTACAAGATATGACAACAATAGCAATAGCCCTTTAGCAACAGCCCTTCCAACAAAGTCTAATTTTAATAATATATATTTTCCGGATAGATAAAAATATATAAAAACAAGTTTGCATGAACTTATTTGTTTAAATTGAATTGTAAATTTCATCAACTGGAACAATTTTTTTTTACATTTTTATCATTTTTACCAAGCCGGTGAGGAATATGAAATAAAGAACCAGGTTAAATTTTTTTCAAACAACCTTTAAAGTGGATTGGTCTGCAATAGGCACATTTTCAATATGTATTTCAAAAATAAATTAAAACAATAGAAATGTATCATTTGGATGTTCTTACAAAATATTTATTGAAAGAAACATCTTGATTCAGTTCTTTATGATTTAGGACAGGCCTCTTGGTTCTTTTACATGCCCAGTGTAATTAGCACTGATACATGCGAGGATTACCTGGATTTCTTAACAGTACACTTCTAGGTAGGTTGGAAACACTGAAAGTGTCTCTGGAAAATCCCAAGGGTGCTACCCAGGATCGAACCCGGGACCACAGGAGTGACATTCAGTGGTCTAACCAACTGAGCTATCAATTTTTCATATTACATGCCTTGCCATTATGAACCAATTCACTTTAATTTGAATATCAACGAATCGGAAATACTACTGAATGGAAGTTTTACATACCAGAACCTCCAATTCAGGACAGGGTATAAATCATGTAAATAGGACAAACAAATGCTAACAAAGCAAACCATCGATAAAACGCTTGCAGTGAAAGCATCTACTTAATGCAAAGTGCAAATTACGCTGGAATTGTTTGCAAGTGAATTAAAAATTACAATACAATATTAGTGTATAATGAGTAACAAATACATTTCAACAAATCTGCAAATTGATTACTTACCGTTTCTGACACAGGAACTGGAAATTTGTCATTAATATGCAGCATAATGTTTTCAGAATTGGTTGATTTACTTTGATGTTTTCGACACCTTTTGAACAAGAAGTACATCAGCAGCATTAAAACAAAAACAGTGATTGCTCCAACGATCCCCAGGATGACCACAGTTTTATTATCTTCTAATACCTGTTCAACACCAACAGTGTGTTCACTTTCTCCGCCATTTACAACTGAATGAAGAGCATTTTTGTAATGTACGTTATGGTGACAACATTATATTCTGATATGGAAACAATATGCCTTTGTCTTGAATTTTGTACTAAAAGTTTTAAAATCCATTTAATTGAATTATCAATACCATTTTTATAACACCTATATAAAATACAATAAAATCAGTTACAAGTATTCTAAACATAAAACACGAAAACAAATAATTCACATGTACTCAAGGAATTAAGCAGTTGGTGTAGTAATTTGTATAAGATAAGAATAAATTGAAGAATTGAAGAAGTAAGGAACTTTAATCAAGTTGACTGTCTACCTGGCCCGACGTCATAATTATATTCATGAAAAAACTTAAACTTAAGATCTTGGGCTATACGACTGAAACATTGTTTTTAAACAAAATTATATAGTATTTACTTATCAATAAATATTTATGACTCACATGTACAATGAATGGAGCAGGTATCTGTATTTTGTAGACAGTAAGGCGTACAGTTTCTACACTTGTTTCCTTTTCCCAAACTGAATTCATCAGTGTCGCAGTATTTGCCTGAATCTTAAATAAACAAAGTAACTATTGTAATACAAAGTCTGACAGGAATGAAAAAAGCGGAAATTGTGTTTTGTTTGGTTTGGTTTTGGTGTTTCTGTTGTGTGTTGTTTTGTGTGTGTGCGTGTGTTGTTTTTGGGCATTTTTTGGTTATTTTTTAGTAGTGATATTTCTGTTGTAAGACTATACTTTCAGTGCAAGACACATACTTGAACGCCAATTCAGATTTCTTTGTATAAGTTTACCAATAGGTGTGTCCTATAATCATATATCTATAAATACTGTGTATGTAATAGTAAGCCGCTTATAAACAAGAAAAATATTACATACATTCGTATGTAATATAGGTACGATTGCATACTTCTTTTTGTGAAGACTTTATGTTTGCTGAATTAAAGGTGTAATGTAAAATGAACAAACATGTCATGAGATATTTTATATCTTTAAACATTTTCATGGAATGTAATTAATGTATCATCATATTAAAGTTGCATGCCTTCAGATGAGAAAAATGATTTCAAGGAAATCAAAATATGAAAAGAAAATTCACGGTCAATTGACTGCTTTGAAGCATAATCACAAAATAAAATTACAGGAAATTAAAAAACCTTTTTAATACACTTAAGGTAGAATTTCATTGTAAATCATATATAATCAGTTCAATAAAAACAAACGCTTTTCTTAAGCTTTCGACGTTTAGTCTTCTTCAGAAAAAATTGACGTTTATAACATAACAAATGACAATTTTTTTTTATTGTAAATCATAGTCACAGATTTGAGATATGATTATTTATTCATATTAACATCATTATTGGTTATATATTGATTAAAAAACCGAAAGACACAGTTTGTAAATATTTATTACAATAAAATATGAAAAAGGTATTTTCCATCCTATGCGACGCGCCGAGGTTAGCTATAATTAAAATTCCCGCGCAAAGTCGCGGTGGTGCTTGGGATAATCACTTGATACTGTAAATGGCAGCCATTTTAAGATACAAAAATGCCTGGCCCTCCTCGGACAGTTTATCCTGCCGAAAAGATATGAAAAAATACTTGCAATTCAAAGTTTGTTTGCTACATAAAGAGTATCGATTTACTCTTTGCACACTTTTTCTCTGCCTGATTGTAATAATATTGATGTGTTTTCATTGGCTTAAACCATCACGTTATCAATACACTTAAAGGTGTGAACTAATTTCGTGTTCATTAAAATTATTCCGTTAATAGACATATCACAATCTTATTTACAAATGAATTGATAAAACAACAATCCCAGAAGCATTTAAGATAATAACAATCATTGGAAAAAAATAAATGCATATAAATTGTAAATTTGTGTATGACAACTCATCCCCTAAACAAAACATAATAGACTCAACCAAAACAAGCGCCTGCTTCTTCACCTCACTATGTAGTTGCATGACCATGATTAGCAATAATAGCAAACCAAATCTAAGAGATAACCCTATTGTAAAAATAATACTATGACCACAGCAGATTTCGTACAGAAAATAAATAAACGATTTAAACATCTCAAAAGGAGATAAACGTCACATGTATAAGCTTGAAGAATGTTCATCTTTAAATGTCAAATTTCTTACCAGAGACTCTAACCCTAATACTTCAATTTAACAAATTGTCTACTGAGATTCGGTCATGTCCCTTTAATGTGTTTGATGGGACCATAGTAATGCTTTTACTCATAATAATGAAACATATGTTTTAAAGCTTAAACGAGAACGTCCTACTTTCAGTACAACAGAAACGAATGCATTCGATGCATATTATGCGAACACTATGCCAGTCAGCGGTTCTTACCACTGCACCAATGATTTATTGAAATACTGACTTTACCTAAAATGGTTAAAAATCTAAATATTTAACGGTTATTGACCGATATCTCTAAACGAAGATATGATTGACCAGTTCGATAGCAGACTGTCTTGAAAAGAAATATAACTATGATATTATTTCCATACTGATGGATGTGGGAACCCAAGAATATTAATTCTAACCTAAGAACCTAAGAATATTAATGTTATTTTTTCCCTAATTAACATAATTACTAACATTTCAAAATATCTCTTAAAATAAAATCCAAATGACATTTAAAATGTTCATATTTTAACATTTTTGCTCTGAAAACAGACTGCAAACGTGATATACCTTCTTTTATCAAACCACGGACTTCTTTCATTCGGCTTCTTACTAGGAGGTTTTTAGGATCAAATTTGAAATTTTATTTCATTTCTTTTTTCATTTTAGCATCTGAAGGCGTGTTGCTTTAGTCCTAAATTATTCATTTCAGTTTATTTCATCTTTTGCTTAACATTTGGCATAAGAACATTTTAAGAAACTTACCGCAGGCTATCCGCTCCGTAATATTTTTAGTAACTTCTTCTAGATCATCAGCGTTCCCAACTTGATATATATAATCGTATCTGCTTGCAACAGACTTGAATATTTCCGGTATGGCCAATCCAAACACCACAACAAATGTCTTTTTCTTTTTAAGAAACTGCGAGACGGTATCTAATTTTGTTTTATCACTAAATAATAAAACAACAAATTCCGCCATACTTTTGTATTTGTTTACAGAAAATCTAGACTCCAACTCATTGTCTATGGCAGCAGACGTTATGGTATTACTGAACTTTGTTGTTGTCTCTGCATAGTTTGCAAAGCTGATATTTCTAATCCAGCTAGAATTGTCACTTGTTTTGTGTAATGAGATTATCTCTGTTACTGTATTACTAAGAAGATTTACATGAACTGTAGAGTCTTCGAGAAGATACGATGTAATATCTCTCACCAAGTACTCCGACTGATTTCTTTGGGTCACACTCATGCTCGGTATATTGCTGAAAACAACCATATTTACCGGCTCAAGAACGCATCCTGAAAAATGTAGAAATAAGTCTTTAAGTCACTGTTCTATATTGATAAATATCGAAATAGACTTTAGTTGTTGATAAGCTCCGCCTTTACAGCATGCTACATGTAACATCACTTGTGTATTAAATCTTAGAATATTAAGACGTACTCTCGTTGTCTCTTTCTAGTTAAAATTATATAGTAGTATAGACCTTTTTACAATACAATTTTTCCATAGTAACGAATGTTGCATTTCGCGCATGCGTATTCTGATTAGGGCAAAAACGCTGACTACAATTTATCATATTTAAAGGCTTTTATAGACGTGATTTCAAGTTATGTCACCCAGAAAACAGTTATTTTGGGATAACATAAAACAGTCAGTACCTAAAACGTAAATTTATCTTTAACAGATATACCGTGTTATAAACTATAGACCGATAATTCAATGAAGAAAGCACATGCATAAAAGTCCTCTTTTTAATATATCATTAGACGAATTTTCCATCAGAAGTTTTAAATTGAAACAGCAGGGTGTGAAAGATTAAATTTTATTATCCCTGTATTACATATTATTGCACAATTTGTATTGAATTAGTGGTTTGGCAAGGCGGTAATTAAGTGCCAAACAGATTGACATGTGAGCGGTTGTTTTTACAATATCATTCAAACGGGACGTTTTAGTACCACCACATTGTCAATCACGCAAAATTATTAAAATCGTAATTTAAGTAACTTTTTGTTCAAATACCAATCTCATCAATGTTTATTGATTTTGTGAAGTGACAAATAGTGTGACGTGCATTTTTACATGTGTTGCCAGGAACCGGATGGTAAGAAGAGTGTTATTTCACTACCCATCTTAATTTCTCATTTTTTTTAAATAATGTAAAAAATTTATGCCACTTATTTTCTTTTTTTTTTGTCTTGCATTATCAGATAAAGGATAAAATAAGGTAAACTGAAAACTTAAAATGCATTATCAAGTGTTTTTCAGAACTTTTTCAGAATGATAATTAACCTCGACTTCATATATTAATAATTTTCTTCAGTTGTTATATAAACTACTTCAACAACAAAAAGTTGACCTCTTATATATTTCTTAGATATATTTCCAAACTTTTTACAACAATATAAATGTCAGTACTAACGCAGGTTCGTGGTAGAAAAGGGATAATTCTTAAACAATCATCTTTTCCAGGGGCATGCCTTTTTATGGCGAATCTGGCCACAAAGCTATCAAGGTACATTTTATGTTTTTGTAAAAAAACTATTTCATATATATTTTTTCACTTTTTACCTTAAACTTACTCGGTATTATCTATGAACTCCTACTATATTTCTATGTTCGGCAATGCTCTTTTTGCCTTAAGCAGATTGCGCATGCGCGGGAAAATACTACTTCCGGTCGATTTTTCATAGCATCAGACCGTGTCGTAAAAAGGTCTATATAATTTACCTGCACATCACACTTGAGATAAAATATTCTTCTAATATACTTGTCACTAAAAACAAAACATTTAACAGTCACCGAGGGTATTGGATTGCTCTCCTAAGAAACGATGTAAACAAGAAATGTCGAACGAACTTGCCATAAATGGGAACATTGAAGTATTCAATTATGGAAAAAGAAAAATAATGAAGACTTTGCGATAAATAGTCTTCAAGATAATGAGACATTTAAGGTCACTGTGACCTTGACCTTTGACCTAGCACAAAATCAATAGGGCCACTTACTAGTTATGACTAATCAATATTAGAAATATGAAGACTTAGTGATGAATAGTTTTCAAGATAATAAACGAAAACTATTCTGACATTTAAGGCCCCTGTGCTCTAGTGACCCCAAAAGCAATACTGATCACCTGTTGGTTATGACCAATCACTATGCGAAATATAAAGAATTTGTGATATTTATCTTTTAAGATAATGAGTTGAATTCCTCTACCATTCTACCATTCAAAGACCCTGTGACCTTGACCTTCGACCTGGTGTCCCCAAAATCAATAAATGTCTTCTACTAGTGTATGACCAATCAATATGTGAAATATGAAGACTTTGTGATAAATAGTAACCAAGATAATAAGCAAAAATCATATTAACATTCAAGGCCTCTGTGACCGTGACCTTTGGCCTAGTGACCCCAAAATCAATAAGGGGCATCTACTAGTTATGACCAATCAATATGTGAAATATGAAGACTTTGTGATGAATTGTAACCAAGATAATGAGCGGAAACCATTCTGACATTTAAGGCCCCTGTGACCGTGACCTTTGGCCTAGTGACCCCAATATCAAAAGGGGTCATCTACTAGTTATGACCAATCAATATGTGAAATATATAGACTTTGTGATAAACACTTTTCATGATAAATCAGCGGAAACCATTCAGACATTTAAGGCCCCTGTTACCTTGACCTTTGACTTAGTGACCCAAAAATCAATAGGGGTCATCTTCTAGCTATGTCTAATCACTATGTGAAATATAACGATTTTGTGATCATTCCTTTTCAAGATAATCAGCAGAAACCATGTTAACAGTTAAGGCCCCTGTGATCTTGACCTTTGACCTAGTGATACCAAAATCAATAGGGGTCATCTACTAGTTGTGGCCAATCACTATGTGAAATACGAAGACTTTGTGATCAATACCGTTCAAGATAATCAGCAGAAACCATTTTGACATTTAAGGCCCCTGTGACCTTGACCTTTGACTTAGTGACCCCAAAATGATTAGGGGTCATCTACTAGTTATGACCAATGTATATATGAAATATGAAGACTTTGTGATGAATACTTTTCAAGATAATCAGTGGAAACCATATGGACAGAAAGACAGACAGACCGACATTAGCAAAACAATATACCCCCTCTTCTTCGAAAGGGGGCATAACAAAAGAGCTTTGATGGCCCTGGATCGTACACCTTGGATACATAGCTAGATTTCAGCAGTGGTTAACTAAGTGACCTCAACGGTGGGGATATTTTTTACTCAAGGGCTTGACTTGCTATACCTTTTGATTAGGTACATAAGGCAAAGCTACATACAAAATACCTTAGAACTGGACATTGTTGTTTCACAAAAGAAACCATAAATGCATTTTCCTATACAAGTTTATACAAATTAAGTGACGAGGGGCGGGGGTCAATTTTCAATCCAAGGTCATAATTTATATAACTTTTTTGTGTGTACGAAGGTGATGCTACATGAGAATAAGCTTTGTGCACCGTACTCTCATTAAAGACGATTTTGATTTTTTTAATAATTTACAAGTCTTTGCTTTCTTCTATCTGGCTTCCGTTTTGACATGCACTAACATAGAGCGGAACGGGGAACCAAACACTAATCTTTCTATTAGAGTGCCAATTGTCCAGCATTAGACCATTGTAAATAAAAATTCAGTTATATAGTCAGTGTTTGAGCCTGTTGGTCTCTTTTTTATACATTTGATTTCAATCGTAAATATCAAGTTAAAATGTATTTAGGCCTACATTTCATGATGATCTTATCTTTCGGACCTGTTCGAGCTTTACTGTGGTAACTTACATATAAACGAGTATTTATTCTTATCACATAAACCGCGGCGCAGGAGTGTAATAAAGCCATTTAATAAAAACAATATTACACTAGTGTAATAACACTTTGACGTGACGTCATTTGCGCTATATAGAAACATAGCGTTAAAGCGCGCTAATGTTAGCGTTACATTATGGGCGCGTCATTGAAAAATTACTCATTTTAACAGTTTACTGTTCTTATTTTATGTATGTGATAAATAGAATATTATATTCGTGTAGATTCAACACTAAATTTATTGAACTCGTTGAATAAAAAAAATATTATGCTCGCCAAAGGCTCGCATAATATGATTTTATTCAACTCGTTCAATAAATTGAGTATTAAACTACACTCATTTAATATCCTATATATAGTCATATTTATACAGAAAAATACATAGTTTTTTCCTTGATTCCATGCAAAAATCTGACGATAGTATCACACGGTGAAAAAATAACACAGATAACTAGCATGCCCATAAGTTTCGTACTTGTATGTTGCATACTGTCTATAACAATATAAATAATACATAGAGGATATTGAATGTGTGCAAGTTCAACTCATCTGTAGAATTTTGAAATAAACTTAATATATGCATGGAAAAGGCTATTGAACAATGTGATAAAGTTATTTTAGTAGGTGATGTAAACGAAGACCAACTGAACTTAAATAATTACAAATTCAAAGATATTTTGTTATTAAACGATCTGCATAATCTAATTACAGAACCCACACGTGTAACTCAACTTTAATAGATCCCATAGCTATTTCCAATAATATCCACGTTTATGATATCATTCTGGCATATTTCATACACTGCGAGAAATAAGTGACCACTATGGAACTTATGTTTTTTATCAAATACATACATGAATAATTTAATACGTATAAAAGACGCGTAACTTGGATCTATAATCGTGCAGATTTTCAACGTTTAAATAACCTTACACAGTCAACAGACTGGTCTTTTTTATATAATGATTCCAATCAAAAGGCATGTGAATCTTTTACAGCACTACTTTTAGACCTAGCTAAAGAGTGTATTCCTATGCGTTTAGTAACAATTCGACCAAAAGATAAGCCCTGGTATGACTCGGAAATACGATGAACATCAAGACAACGTGACAGGAGTAAGAAACAAGAGGGCCATGATGGCCCTAGATCGCTCACCTGAATTATCAAACTCATCCAAACAATTACCTAGACAAGCATTCTGACCAAGTCTCATGACAGGTGAGTCAAAAATGTGACCACTACAGTGTTAACAAGGATTATCCATATTTGAGCAGTGCGACCTAGTTTTTTACCCAGGTGACACATATTCAAACTTGACCTAGAAATCATCAAAACAAACTTTCAGACCAATTTCCAGGAAACTTGGATCAAAACAGTAGCAACTAGAGTGTTAACAAGATTTTTCTATTTCTAGCTCCGGTGACCTAGTTTCACATGTGATTTCGAACTC